CTCCTCTTCTTCTTCTTCTTCTTCTTCTTCTTCTTCTTCTTCTTCTTCTTCTTCTTCTTCTTCTTCTTCTTCTTCTTCTTCTTCTTCTTCTTCCTCTTCCTTCTTGTTCCTCTTCCTTCTTCCTTCTTTCTTCCTCCTCCTCCCCCTCCCACCCCTCCTCTTTTCTCCTCATCCCCCATCCCTCCTCTTCTTCCTCTTCATCATCTTCTTCCCTTGGCCCTTATCAGACAGGTAGAATCCTCATAGACCTTTTTATTTCTGGAGTGTGAATACAGGTGGAATCTTCCCAGCATGTTAAAACCCACTTATAATAGACTCTGATTATGAGCTCAAGGGACTCTCATTTCTAAAACCTTCCACAAATAATGCCTTGTGCCTAAGATCGGCTCAAATGATGGTGAACTATTCTTACCATAGGAAAGTGTGATTTGAAAGCTGATTTGAGAAAACGTTGGTGCTTTGCTGAAATTTCTTCAGTTTGGGGAAGGTTCTGTCTATATCTGAGATAACCATTCTGGGTAAAGAGTGATTAACAAGCTGAAAACAACCAAAATTCTTCTGCACTGTGCAAAGTGAGAATAGTATTTCTGTTGCAGCAAACTTTGGAAAGGGGTTGTCCCTTTCCACTAGCTATAAGAACAGCAATGTAAGTTTAAGACAAGATCAACAGTAAGTCAGATTATTACTGGCTCATTCTCCTCTATGGGATGTTCAAAAATATTAGGGTTTAACATCTAGAGTGTGTTATATTCCTAAATAGAGTCCAGTTCTGTATTTGATTGGGTTCATGAAGATCACACAAAGACTTTGCAAAGGTTATGTCCCCTATTGGATGAAAATTCATGTCTGCTTACTGTGAGCACTTCACGAAGAGCCATAGACCCAACACTTGCTTCCTGCCATCTCCATTCAGTTTCTTAAAGGACTTGTGTTACTGACCTGACTTTTTGTGGCCAATACGGTGGCTCTGACCCACCATATTGTTTAAATTCATTAAAATGAAATAAAAACCCCACTCAAGAAAAAAAAATTAGAGACAGGGTACTGGTGGGTCATGCCTGTCATTCTAGCTACTCAGGAGGCTGAGATCCTGAGGATCACAGTTTGAAGCCAGCCTGGGCAGGAAAGTCACTTATCTACAATGAACCCACCAGAAAACCAGCAGTGGTGCTGTAGCTTAAGTAATAGAACACTAACCTTGAACAAAAGAGCTCAGGGACAGCACCCAGATTCTGAGTTCAAGCTCCACAACTGACAAAGGAAAAAAAAAACAAAAAGGAAAGAAAAATTGAGTAAACCTAGCTCCCCAGTCATACAGCTGCACGTTGGAAGCTCACGTCTGTGGTACTGACCATCCACCCCTGCCATAGAACGCCCACCCACTTTCTCTTCTCCTTCAAGATTTATAGAGCATTGCCATGCTCATCCAAGAGTGAAACCGTGAGAGTAAAGAAATGTCTTTACCTAGGATTTCTCAGATTCAGCCTGCTAGATAACTCTTTGCATCTGTAAACATCCATTTGGCACCCTTTAGAAAAGAAGAGAGAGCATGGCAAGAGATAGGACTAGATCCTACGTGAATCCTTTATACGCATGCCTTCTTAGAGAAATAACACTTCCCAAGTGGCTCCCGTTTCCCCTGGGGGGAGGAGAGAGGGAGGGGAGATGCTTTTCTTGATGGTTGTGTTTTTCTGAAGGTCTCCTAAGCGGTGTTCTTTTCCTCACAGCTAAATCTGGTATCAAGCGTCACACTTTCCAAGTCCGCGTCCGAGGCTTCTCCACAGAGCTTACCTCATACTCCAACCACCCCCACGGCCCCTCTGACTCCTGTCACCCAAGGCCCCTCCGTCATCACCACCACCAGCATGCATTCGGTGGGACCCATCCGCAGGCGGTACTCAGACAAATACAACGTGCCCATTTCTTCAGGTAGCTACCTCATTGGCGCCTCCTGTGCAGGCAATGTCACCTTCAGTTCTATTCACCAGCCCCCTGTTTTTACCAAAAAAAAAAAAAGGTAGTTAACAGAACAACAATCCTTATTTTAGCAGATATTGCGCAGAACCAAGAATTTTATAAGAATGCAGAAGTTAGACCACCGTTCACATATGCATCTTTAATTAGGCAGGTAAGTCAATAACAACAGCATCGTGAAATGATCTCAAAAGGTATATGCAGACATGAATTTATTATATTGATGAAGTAGATTTAAAACCGTTTAGTATGCAAGCATGCTGAAACCTTTTCTATAAGGTTTTTTAAAACTGCAATATATAACATAATTGCTTTTGATTAAGTATTACAATACGATGTGATTATTAGAAAATTCATTTCACACAACAGTGAAAATGAGCCTGTTTAAAGATGGCAAGTCAATTATCACAAGCTACAGTAATCTCTGATCCCTAGAATTAATCTGAGCTCTAAATAATTACTGAGCTTTAATCAGCTAGTGAAATGTTTTGCATTTCTCTTTGATTCTGCTTTATGAATGACTAATAAATTAATATTTCTGTACGGAAACAGAAATAAAAACTCAAAACAATTAGATAATTCCATTTTGAGTTTTGCTATTGAACTGTTAAATACAATCATTAATCTTAGATCCTTCTACAGAAACCTTTCTTAGTATCTAGCTCTGAATCAGTTATGTTGTATTTTCAAGAAAGGGTATAATGGTGACTCTGCCGATCTCATCATAAATTATCATCTTCTGATGCTTTCTTTGCTTTGCAGGCCATTCTTGAATCTCCAGAAAAGCAGCTAACACTAAATGAAATCTATAACTGGTTCACACGAATGTTCGCATACTTCCGACGCAATGCAGCCACGTGGAAGGTAAGCTCTCTCTCTCAGGCCTGTGTAGTCTTGGATTTTAAACTTTATAGAACAGAGGTGGTTCATGGAGTTACTGGGCCACAAGAACGTTATATCTATAATATTTTGATACATTCCGAGTATCCAGTGAACAGGAATACCAGATGGGGAAACGGGTTCCATTGTGGTTGAAGGAGCTTTTATCACTGGCAGCCGAAGTGTGCCCAGGCCAGCCAGGGAAGTCACTCTGTGGTTGAAGTCTGATGCTATTGCTCACAGTGAGCTCAATCTCTTCCTTACACAAGGCTCACCCTGATAGGGGTTTAGCTGCAGCCAGCATTTGCAGGGGTACCTTGTATTTTCACCATCTAGGAAATTGGATCAAATGACAACACTGAATATGACCTTCATTAGTTGGATCAAAGTTCATCAACCCCATTAGCAGAGAAGTCCAGGCAATCCACATATGAGCACTCTAAATGGATGCTTCTAACAGAACACTGTGTAGTTTGGGGGGTTTGGGGTTTTTAAAAAATCCCTTTTGTTTTATTCGGTTTACAATCCCTCCCAGCTTCACTCATACCCTGAAGAAGAAAAGTTGTTTCTGGATTATGGAACTGAATTGCAAAACCAATTGCTACCAAACAGGTCAAAGTCCCCTAATTCCCCTAGCTTTGTGTGTGATGCCCCTGCGAATGCTAGGGTCATGTGACCTACCTTGTTCCCAGCCCATCGGTTCAGAAATAATTCAAATTTTTACTCCATCGTATTGATTAAGGTCTCGCAAATTTTTACAGGTTCCCTGATGTCTATTATTTCTGTTATCAGCCAAAAAAAATGGAAGAGGGATGCATAGATATGTAGAATTTTTAATTTTTTTTTCTACCTGGAATTACCAAAATCCCTGAAGTTCCCAAAACAATTAGACTTTTTTTTTAACACAAACACTGAAGATGTTTATATTTTATTATAGGATAATAAGGAAAATTACTTTGCTTCAAATAAATATCTTCCCTGCTATAACCTTAATTTTATATGGGGGGAAAAAAACCCAAAAGACATCTCCTCTGCTAAGGTTATGATAAAATTCTAAAAGACAGCAACTAAGCATAGAATTAATTCATCAGACACATGGGACTGCAGAGAAACTATGTTTAGAATCTTCCCCTTTTCCTCAGCCTGCCTTGGGGGATGAAATACAAAAGATCTGTAGCTCTGAATGTTTTAAAAATTTAGGAAGTAGAAACATGAAGCAGAGACTTTCCTTCAAGTTGCTTTTTGGAAAAGCCAAGTGATCAAATTTAAAAATAACTGCCAGTTGTGCATATGAATTAAAGCTGCCAATCCCATCTTTACATAAAACTTTTTTAGTTTTACCAAGTAGAGGCAAAAATGACATCAGTATAAACAACCCTAGGTGAAGGCTTTAATGAGTCATAAATCTGTGTAGTTTTCCTTCTGTGACCTTGTTGGAGCTGTGATCTTAATACAAAAGGTGAAATGGCCAGGCACTGGTGGCTTCCGCCTATAATCTAGCTACTCAGGATCTGATATCTAAGGATCACAGTTCAAAGCCAGTCAGGACAGGAAAGACCGTGAGAGTATTATCTCCAATTAACCACCAGAAAACTGAAAGTGGTGCTGTAGCTCAAGTGGTAGAGCACTAGCATTAAGCAAAAGAGTTCAGGGATGGCATCCAAACCCTGAGTTCCAGCCCCATAACCAACCAAAATTAAAAAAAGTTGGGGGCGGGGGCTGGGAAGATGGCTCAGTGGTAGAGTGCTTGCCTTGCATGCATGAGGCCCTGGGTTTGATTCCTATGCACCACATAAACAGAAAAGGCCAGAAATGGCGTTGTGGCTCGAGTGGTAGAGCACTAGCCTTGAGCTGACGAGCTGAAGAACAGTGCCTAGCACCAGAGTTCAGGCTCCCCAGACAGCAAAAAAGAAAAAAGCGAAATGCCCAGTTTAGAGTCATGAGTGAAAAAAGATCTCTCGTGGCTGGGAAGGTGGCTCAGTGGTAAAGCACTTGCCTTGCATGCATGAGGCCCTGGGTTCAATTCCTCCCAGCACCACATAAGCAGAAAAAGCCAGAAGTGGCGCTGTGTCTTGAGTGGTAGAGTACTAGCCTTGAGCTGAAGAGCTGAGGGACAGCGCCCTGGCCCAGAGTTCATGCCCATGACTGACAAAAAAGAAAAAAGATCACTTGTCTTTTTTTTTTTTTTTAAGATTCTTGATTTCTCATTGTTTCTACTTCTTACAGCTCTGGAAAAACTATATCAGTTCTTTTAGATGAGGGCAGCTTCTTAATTTTTTTCAGCTTCAATAAATTTTGATACTTATTTTAAAACGTCACAGTGATTGGAAATGATGATAATTTCTTTCGCAGTTCTGTTTCCTATACATGAACTTAATTTAGCCTGGATTCTTAATGAAAACTTAGTTTTATTTATATTTTCTTCAAGTTGTTTGACATGTAATAACACACCTTTAATATGCCTTTGTACAAGAAAGTGAACAAATGACCTACTGAAAGGTCAAGGGTACAATTTCTACATAAAGAAACCTGCCCCTGGACCGCAGGCATGACAGGACCATTGTTTTTAAGTGACCCATGAAAAACATTGTGTGGGGCTGGGAAGGTGGCTCAGTGGTAGAGTGCCTGCCTTGCATGCATGAGGCCCTGGGTTCGATTCCTCAGCACTGCACAAGCAGAAAAAGCCGGAGGTGGTGCTGTGGCTCAAGTGGTAGAGCGTGCTAGCGCTGAAGACCTGAGGGACAGCACCCAGGCCCAGAGTTCAAGGATCCTTCAATAGTCTTAAAGATATCATGAACCTTCCCTAATTGGTACCCAGAATTCTTTGAATTTGAATCCTGTGGATTCTTTTAGTGAGCAGTTAGTTCATCACGTCCATACATGTAGCTTCAGTATGAAGATTCATTATTTCCTAAGTGTTCCATACAAGAGAAGAAAAATTATTTCATAGCTTGAATCCTCATAGTCAACAATTACGATGTTCCCCCAAATAAATTCAGATTTGCTACCCTCTGAAGAGCCAACACGACAGGCAAGAGAGGGTGTATTTGAGCAATAGCACGGTGATGAGAACAGAATCAGGGTTTATTCATAAGGCATGTGAGGGACAATGGGTGTGTAAACTCGTTGTGCCCCATTGGACTCCACTTACTCTTCCTGAGAAGGATCTTTCAAATTGATATGAGTTCTGTGTCCAACATGAAGTCTGGATCACCAAGTTCAATCAGCCAGAACTAAAGAAATGGAACCTTGTTGTGTACCCAGTAAATGTCGTCGTACATTCTCCTAAAAGTCAAAGGGAAAATGAGATGTTAAAAAAGCTCTTTACTTTTTATAGTCAGGATCCCCCTTTGTGGTGCATAGTGGACATGAAGGGTTTCAGCTTAGCAGTGCTTTTTTAAATCTGTGTTTCTGTACAAAGCATCAGCTGCAGAAATGGAATCATTTTTGCCATTGAGAGTCCTACTCTTGTGTTCCTCAGCATCTGTTCAGTTAATTTAATTATTAATTATTCCTAGTAAGCCCCAACTGTCACATACATTCCAGCAGGTAAGACATATTTTGATGGTGGATACTGATCCTTTAGGAGTTTATCCTCTGGGATAACTTCCTAAACATACTCTCAATGGTAGACATCTACAAGTCTTCCCTAATAAAAACACATGGGTTCCAAAGCTAGATGCTATTTATGTAACAGTATTAACCAGGTATTCATCTTGCATGGTTTGAAGGATATAGTTTTATGTTTAATCTATATCTTTATTTTGAAGTCATTATTTTGACAGTAATTTCAGAGTCATAATATACAACCTATTTGGGGGTTATATGAATATTATAAATATTTCTTCTGGTTAGATATTACCAGAGAGAAGACTACAACACCAAAGTGCAACTCATACCTAACTGGGGTTCTTACTGGAAGACCCCTCCCTCAACCACAGAGGGCCCCCCCTTGGGGGAGGGGTGGTAGCTGCAGTTTGGGGCGGGGATAGTTTTATAAATATGAGGCTGAAATGTACTGCTGTGTTTGGAGACTTTTCTTATAGAAAATGTAAATGTTCTCTCTTTTATACTTGCTGCAGAATGCAGTGCGTCATAATCTTAGTCTTCACAAGTGTTTTGTGCGAGTAGAAAACGTTAAAGGGGCAGTATGGACAGTGGATGAAGTAGAATTCCAAAAACGAAGGCCACAAAAGATCAGTGGGTACGTCCACCATGTTTGAACTTCTTAGCCTAGCTTGGATTGTGCTAACAAGTGTAACATAGAGGCTTTGGCTGCTAGACGGTGTTAGATCCAAGAGCTGGTGTCACGTTGTCTCAGTCAAGGGAAGCAAAAAAGCATTTCATCCCTCCTGTTTCGTACACCCACCAGTCCCCCTGCCCTGCTTGCTGGTCTTTGTTGCATCACATGCTAGTAGCTTTTAGGTGGCAATGCATATTAACCCTCACAAACCATTTGCTTATGCTTATTGCATTTTATTTTCTTTTTCCTGTTCCCTGTATTGGATGTCTGTTCTGCCCCCAACCCCGTCTCCTTTTGTTGCCACTTCATCTCCTTTGCTGCTGCTCCTATCCCAGGGTGCCATTCGCACCAACCTCTCACTGCATAAGTGCTTTATCAGAGTAGAGGATGAGTTTGGGTCCTTTTGGACAGTTGATGATGAAGAGTTTATACGTGGCCGCCATATTCAACGAGGCCGTCCTCGCAAATACTGCCCCGATGAAAACTTTGACGAGCTTGTCACACAGTAAGAGCCTTTACTTGCTTTTGTTTTTTTTTTCTGCTGTTGCTTTGGCTTTGCATGGTTGACTCATCCCATGTAGTTTTTGCATTTCACCAGTAGCAGTGCCTCAGCTTCCTGCAAATGGAACTAAATTGTGTGATTTGTACATGCATCTCTCTCGTTTCTCTTTGGAACACCAGTTGCCTTGAGTAATGCTTTTTTGATGTCTTTAATACAAATTATTGGTTGTATGTCGATTCAGCAGCTTACGGGGACCCTCTGATTAAATATTTTGTGTGTGACCCTAATTCCTCCAAGCAAGAAGGAAATTATGGTTAAAACGTATTATCTGTTGGGATATAATGTATTTTTTCTTATTTATTACTAAATATAATAAGAATGAAATGATTGCAATGCCTGAATCCAGCTGGGTGTGGTGGCGCACGCCTGTAATCCCAGCACTTGGGAAGCAGAGGTAGGAGGATTCCAAGTTCAGGTCTAACCCGGGCTACATAGCAAGACTGTCTCAAAGGGGGGGAAAAAAAGAATTTTCTAAGCTGGGGGGGGTGTGGGGGATGGAGGTATTGGGTGGTGGATGATGCTACTATGTGTATTATGGGAAGCCATCCTTCCCCACAGAGAATTTCTTAGTGTTTCTAATTCTTTAGTGGGCCAGAGATTTTTCTTTTAACCATATCTCGGCATCCATTGATTGGTCAGTTACTAGAGGGAGACAGTACCCAGTCACTTCAGGCCCTCCTAGATCTTGCTGTGCAAATAAACACTGTAGGACCAGGCTTGCCGTGGTATGCTCTTATACTCCTTCCTCCTCTTCTCTTGGCACTAAACATGCCTGAGAGAACTTCCTAAGGGCTGCTTCCTAATTTCCTGCAGCAGCCATGGTAGAGGTCCAGTCAGGAAGAGGCTTCAGAGGGACACCTCTCTGCTGACTCCCAGGTCCCCTGCCATCTCTCCTTAATCCCTACATGCTACCTTCCTGCTGCAGCCTGGTCAGTGATTTACCTATCTGTACCGAGGTCTCAGCCAGAATCTGACACCCCGTCACCTTGAACAGCATCCCCAGAAATTTTTGCCTAGTCCAGCCCTGTAAAAGGGAAGTGGACAAATAATAATAATAACAACAACAATAATAAGGGGAAGTGGATGGCTACCAGGGAGCTTAAAAAACAAAACTTAATTGGGACCCCGGGGGCCGGATGGTGTTTAACTTTGACTTTTTATCTTTTTTTTTTATACAGTAACCCTTCCCTTATTAAAAACATGCAGAGTAGCCACGCCTACTGCACACCTCTTAACGCTGCGTTACAGGTAAGATGAATGGCCGTCCAGAATCTGCTGCGGCGACACATGTCTCCCCCACTCATTGCAAAATATATTAGCCTCGCTCTAATTAGATATTAAATTTTAATTCCGTTAAACTTTTTTCTTAAGTGCACAAAGCTTCGCGCTCCCTGGAGGCAAACACATCGGGCTGCTTCAGCATTAGCCAGGATGCTTAGCATTTTGAATATTGTGGCAAAAAAATTAAAAGTTCACTTATTAATATTTATCAGCAGTATCATAATTTCCATCCTCTTATTTCAGAATTTCACTTGAGGCAAAAATACCACAAGTGTAATTACTCTAGCACAGCTATTAATGTGCTGCATGATAGGCTAGTGGATCACATGCCCTCCCATTGTTCACAGGTTTAAAGAGAAAGCGGAGCTTTGTGCTCCTTTCCTCTCCTTGCCACATCCATTTCAGTATCTCTTCTCAGGGGAGGGGTGGCATCTGGATTTGTTTCGTTTTGTCTTAAGTCGACTGTTTTTGTTGAAACAATAGAGAAGTTGAAGCAAACTCCAGGCTCCTGGTAACTTGTTGGTGATCACAGTATAAACGCACAAAACATTTTCTGCTTTTGTTTAGTTTTGTTTTTGTGCCCATACTGGGGCTTGGACTCATCATCTTGGGTGCTATTCCTGAGCTTTTTGTGCTTAAGGTTGGCAGTCTACAGGAGAACTACATCTCTGCTTTCTACCCAGTGGTTAATTCCTACCCAGACTGGCTTCAAATTGATCCTCACATCTCAGCCTTCTGAATACCTAGGATTACAGATGTAAGCCACCAGTCCAGCCCAGAACATTTGTTTTCTGCAGACAAACCAAGCACTTGTTATGTCGCTGATATCCTATGGGATATCCTATGGTTCTGAGCAAAAGGTCAAGATCACCTGTCTTGCATTACCAGGACAGCCTGTGTGTCTGTAGCAAGTCTTTTGTTTATTGCTTTTTTTTTTCTTAGTTACCATGGTCCCTGCAAGTCCTCTCTCAAATCCTTATAATACTCTAGTATTCCTTCATTGAAACACCTGGGGTTGAGGCTTGAGTTTTCAAAGAACAATTATAGGCACAGTCCTTTTAGCCAGTGTTCCTGTGGGATTTTCACCTACCCAGACTATTGGCCTGAAGACAGGCTGACAGAACTGTATTAACTTTTCATGATAGGTTCTGCAGGTAAATCTCACCTTGGTAATCCAGTACCACTAAGAATCCTCAAGGCTACTACTCTGACAAATTGGTTCTTCAGTTGAACTTCCAAAGATTATAGCACATAAAATCAGAGATTAAAATTTCTTGGGTTGAAAGCAGAACTAGAGAAGAAGGGCAAGTTCATTAAAAAAAAAAAAAAGTTGAGACACTTGGCATTATGGGAACAGGATGGGGGAGGAGGATCTTCTGATGCACAGGAACCTGGTGGTTGCTTCTCAGTAAGCAAACCTTCAGTGTGCATCTGTTTGCTGCTGCGCCCACTCTGTGCTGCTCACCACCGTTTTCCCAGCTCACTAGCAGCATGTCTTAGAGCTCACGATGGCTGATCTGTCTCCTACCCAGTTCAGCAGCAGATTCACTGAACTTAGCATTTCAGTAATTATATTTATTTATTTTTAGGCTGATCTAAATTTAATAGGAGAAACTACTTTCTGCGTTCCTTTTTAATTACTTGTAGTTTACACAGTAACTTTAGAAGAGTAAATGAAAGCACGCTTAGATGCTGCCGCTGTAAATACCATTCATTAGTAACTTATTTTCCCTGGAGTCTTGCAAAGTGTGAATTTAAAGGCAGCTCTATCTGGAAGAGTATTAAAATTACAAGCACATTTTACATTCATGAGGCGGAAAAGCAAAAAAAAAAAAAGATCCTCCATCGTCTAGATCTCCTTAACTATGTGGCTAATTTCGATTAGAAAGCTTATCATTACCAACTGTTCCTGTTTCACCTCAATGCTGGTCTTCCCTGTTCCAGTGGGAGTCCCAGACTCTCCAAGAACAGTTGATGTCCACAACTAGGAGAGACCAATACATGACAATAATGCGTAATTTAAGAAGCTACATTTCCCTCTCGTCTGTGATTTGGATCAGGGGAGAGCCTGAAAGTTAAGACCACTTTCTGCCGTGCAAAATTAAGTCCATATCCTTTCCATTATCACCCATTTTCCATCCTTAAAGACAAGGAAGAATAATAGTGGAACGCTATCTCAAAAAAAAATTTTTTTTTACTAGACCAATATAACGCGTGCTTATACAATTTATAAAATAGGACAGCAGAATTCACTACAGAAATAAAACATGGGACTTGGGACAGATTGCATTATGCTCTGAAAAAGTGAAGTAACTAAGGGTAACCGTAAAGCTTCGTATTTATAGACTGTCTTTTCCCGAAGATCTCGGAGCGGCTAATGTTCCAGAAGCCATGGCACTTACAGACTTCTATACCATTCCTTAAGCACCTTCAGGTTTTTGGCAGACGTGCCAGTTGAATAGGAAATCACGTGCTGTGCCCAGGGTCATTTATATAATTAAGTCCATTATCAAGATTGTGATCCACCTCCTTCTAAGGAACACCACCTATGAAAAGGATGAGTCTTGTTAGGCAGATGCAGATTTTTCTATCTTTTGGGGGGTTGTTCTGATCTCTCACCTAACAGCATTTAAGAGATTCTGAGCAGGTTAAGATGCAGGATTTGACTGTAGCCCATTCTCTTTCCTTACCTCCCTCCCTCCCTCCCTTCCTTCCTTCTTTCCCTCTCTACTTCCCCCTCCCTCCCTCTCTCCCTCCATCCCTTCCACCCTTCCTCCTTCCTCCCCCCTCTTTTGATCTGATATACCTTGTCTGAGAGTCAAGGTATCCATACAGAAGAATCAGAAGCCACTGCACGACTTCCTTCACTGGAATTGGGGCCTCTACTCAAGTTCTGTGCCCCAAACTCAGTCAGAAATGGCCATAATTTGAAATAATTTAGGAGATGAATAGAATGAACATCTACCCAAAGGAGCTTCCCCCTGTCTGTGGGTTGACTAACATATCCCAACAAACACATTCTTAAGGCTATTTCAATTCGCTTTACCACTCCGTTTTTGGCTTTGGAATCTGCTAAAATGGCCAACTGGCACTAGCCCCACTTTGGCCACAATCCTGCCTTGAATGACAGTGAAATTGTCCTGGGAGGGCTCGTCTGTATTTCCAGTGAGAAGCAGTTCCCTGGACAGACCCAGAGTAACTTTCAAGATAAAGAGGCATGACCACAGTACTGTCTCAAATAAAAATGTAGCGATAGCAATCTAGCTGCCGTTTGCAGTCGCAGCGATTATTATCTGCCAGCCACTCTGCCCCAAAGAGTAAAAATATTTGACAGACTACAGGAGAGGGGGGAGAAATCATCAAATTGAGTCCTCCACACTGGGAAATAAAAAGGGGATTTTAAAAGAAGGCAGTGAAATAAACTCCAAAGTGGGCGAGAAGTTGCCTAGGCCCCGCTTTGAAATCGAGTGTTAGACTAGGTGAGCGTGTCTGGGGCTTAACACAGGACTTGCATCGAAGAAGCATTTCTGGCTCTGGGGTTTTGTACAACGAATGAAGAGTGAAACTGTGACTGTCAAAACAGGCAGACTCCCTGCAGCCCGGCTGTGCTCCCTTTTTTTTTGGCTTGTACCTTCTCTTCACTGCCAGGATTTCTAGAATAGTTTGGACTCTTGCAAGATGGGCCAATTGAAGTCACTATGCCAGATTGTCTTGTGATTGTACTTTTTTCTCATTAGGGTAGGAAACCAGGCATAGTGTATTCTGCAGGAAGACAGTTGTCATAAATCTTGGTCTAATTACAGCTGCCACTTTTTCAGTGTCTGCCCTCTTTAATGAAATGAAAGGCACTGGGTCACACTTGCTGCCCAAATGAAACAAATATGGTTACTTTAGATTTTAGCCATGTGGTGCTGACTAGTCTGTATTTCACACTGGGCAGCTGTTTTTATTCAGATACAGTAAGACAAAGTGAGTGGTATAGAGTTTAGGGTGGGTTTTTCCCTCCATACCCCCCCCCCCACCACCACGCACTTTTTTGCTGACACTCATTTAGAGTGACTTTGTCACCTTTAATATCAGAGTGCTCAGGCACCCAAAAGAAATGAGATTTAGAGCTTCTTTTTGCTAGGGATTTTTCTTTCGTTGTAAAATCCCAAGTGATTGGTCTGAGTCTGAAAGATTGTGCACTTGCTACCTTCAACCAGTTTTCTCGGACTTCACTAAACACATTCAAAAATCATTAAACCGGAAACGATGTGGTGGGGAGAAGGGATAAAAATTGATTCCAATTCTATAATCTCTTCCTTTTCTATAAGATCTGGGAGGTAAATGTTTATGGAAGTTCTCATAAATTTGAGCAGTGTGCCCGGAATAATCAGATCAAATCTCTGATATCCAATAGCAGAGTCATCAAAATGAGTCAAGAAATGAAAATCCCATTATATTTTCACTATGATCTTGAAATATTCAGTTCCTCTTGAAAAAGGCGGACATAAAAGGCCTGGGATAGAAACCTCATAATGGATAGCTTTGTCTAAACTGTAGGGCCCTACCCCACATGACCACATCAAGGACTTCTTCCTCATGGGCTTTTTTTTTTTCAACCCCCAACGTACCTCTTCTAAATCAAACCTAGGGCCGGGTGCCTTGAGTTGCTTTTAGAGTTCAGTCTCTGTATAATGTCTTTGAAATGTGTATTTGCCAAGCAGGTGGCCTGATGGACTAAGGATGGAGGTTACTGAATTTTCCCACCATTCATAGCTTCTGTGTGCTACCTACCCTATGACTTCCTCAAGTTCTCTCTTGGTTGCTGGCAGGCTTCCATGGCTGAGAATAGTATACCTCTATACACTACCGCCTCCATGGGGAATCCCACTCTGGGCAACTTGGCCAGCGCAATCCGGGAGGAGCTGAACGGGGCCATGGAGCACACCAATAGCAACGAGAGTGACAGCAGTCCAGGCAGATCTCCTCTGCAAGCTGTGTGAGTACTGCGCACCCCCTGGGCTTTGCCACCACACCACAGGCTCCCAGTTTCCTATACACACTGAACACTTCGGCATTCTCTCTCCATCTTTCCCATAATTCCTCATGACTTAGAATCCAGGGAGAGCCCCTTGGTACTTCCTTTTCCTAGAAAAGCCGTTGTCTGCCGTGGCACAGGAAATCGCCTCCTTTGGCCGTTACACAGTCATCCAGGGGGAGGGTTGGGAACCTAAATTCAGCACGCATCTGCTAGACGAACTTTTGAGTTTTGTTTCACTTTGGGGCTCACTGACCCTGGCAGAGGGAACAAAGATGTCGCTCTGAGTTGTGTGCCGGGTTTCGGCTGCACATGCGATGCCACAGCCTTATTACTAAGCATTAATGATGGCACAAGTGAAAGGCAGCATGATTTATAGATTGCTCTTAAAATATCAAAAGGAAAATTAATAGGAGCATTATCGCAGCAGACGGCAGTCTAATGAGTGCACATATAACTGAATGAAGTGATGGGCGAGGGTGGCTCTTGTGGAATGTGAATGAATGGTCACAGGGACCAAGCCAGCCGTCACTAAATCCGAGGCCACCAGGCCATGAGGCTGTGGTGAGAAAGCATTTTTAAATGGAGAAAAGCAGCCACATTATTCCAAGAGATCGGATTTCCGGCAAAACCGTGGAATGACAGTGTCTCCCTTTCAGTGAATTTCTGCCAAACTGTGGTCCACATTACGTGAATAAACCAATTCAATGTTTGCATTCCTGTCGGCTTCCAGAACAGGCAAATGTCTACACATTCTTCACTCATCAACATCTTGTTTTAAGGATAATGTGAGTGATAGGAATGGAAAACGTGACCTGTAGCAATTAAGAACTGAAGGAATTGGCACCTAGTGACAAAGAGAAAAACCGTTATCTCCCAGCATAATTAGAGGTTATGGGGGAATTTGAAATCTGATTTGCTAAGCATTTGCATCTCATGCCCAATGTGCTTTGAGAAGCATCTTTAAAGATGAGAAGTAATCATTTTTAATTTCCATGAAAAGCCTCCAAAATATTTACTTCAAGTGTTTGTCTTCATACCCACGCTGTTCTATTTCTGGCTTTATTGTTTTATCATTATGTCATTGTCATGACATTAAATATAGGAGAAAATGTAAATGGGAATATAAACCCTTGAAGAAACACATATGAGAGCAAAACTATCTGAAGTTGATGAATATTCCTAGTTTTTAATGCAGAAAGATCACTGGGTGAGGTGGAAGGGTAGAGTGCAGAGATAAAACAAAAACAACATATTTGGATACAAGTTTCACAATCAACAGTTCAGAGTCAAGCTGTTTTTTCCTGGACAGAGTAAAGTTAACTATGGAGTTAATTTGTTTTAATGACTTTGAATTAACCCCAGTGCTTTCAAAAATGATGTTTTACAAGTCATCATAACTTGTTTTTTTTTATTTTTTTTATTGTGAAAATACTGTACAGAGGGGTTACAATTACATGGGCAAGATAATGAGTACATTTCTTATCAAGCATTGTAGCCTTCTCCTTTGTTTCCCCTTCCCATCCCTTCCCATCTTCCCCCTGCCCCCCCCACCCAATCCTCCCCAACCCCCCACCAAAGTTGTAAAGTTCGTTTTTGACATAACGACTTGTACATCTCATTGTTGCAGTGGGTCCACCTGTATTACTATTTAAACAACTTGTTTTTCCCCTTCCCCTCCACAAATTATACTGACATCAAATACAGTGAAAGCAGGGGTTATACCATGGGGGAGGGACATACAAAGCAACAAAGAAATAATCTTATAAATGTGTTAGAAACAATCGCATGAAAGAAAAAAAACATTTGAATACATATCTTAGGGTTCATTTCCCTAATGAAACTGATATTTGCAGTTTTAGAAGAAGCACAGAGCCCTGCCCAAAGACGTCACTAGGTTTATACCTGGAGCTCAGCGTGGCCCCAAGTCTGTCCTCAGTGGTTTACTCAGTTGTTCTTTCTGACCCTATACTTCCATATAGCAGATTCCATAGCAGTGTCATTTTCATACTTGTCTTGTATGCATTACCCTGCTATGATGCAAATTGTTTAACTGTTCCCAGTCTGTTGGAATACATCTAAGCCATAAACTTTATAGCAAGAACGGCCGCTTAGCAAATATGTCAGGTTGCTACAGCATGTCTCATTCTAACTTTTTGGGGCACTCCCTACCACTACATTTCATTTAGATTCTCTTCTAAAACACTACAAAGTATGATGTGCTTTGATCCTGATAGGAGTTTAAAGGAGCAGCAAAGCAAAATACTCCATGCTTGTCTGTGCGCGCGCACACACACACACACACACACACACACACACACACTTTCCCTCCGCCCCCCCCCCCCAAACACAAGGCCTTTAAACACCATTTGGCTTTATTTTAAAACTCCTGTGTTCACACAGTGACTGCAGAAAGGAATTATTCAGATGTAAGGGAAGGGCAATGAGAGGCTTTATACCATTGTTCATGGGTAGATCTTTTAGAAGATGTTGGAGAGAAAGAGGGTTAGGCCTAGGTAGGTAATGTTGGCAAGAGGTACCGATTGTACCCCAGCTACAGTTTCTAGGAGACATACTGTGTGTGTGTGGGAGAATCGTGTCTTCAACACTTTACATCCTACACAGAAATCCATTCTGTGGGATCCCCAAGACACTGGGTGGCACACTCAAGGTGGTCTGCAAGTTTCAGCTGCCCTGAGATTGGATTTCATGCTTCTGCTGTCTTAGGAGTCCTTCATACCTAACCTAGCATATAGACAGGTTGTCATGCTTAGAGCCAGCAAGGATGACGGAGTTATTACCTTCCTTTGCCACAGTAAACAATACATAAATTTGCTATCACAGAATCTTCGCTAGGGCTGCACATTATGAGAATCATACATGTGTGTGGGTGATTGGGGCATAGCTTAACAAAATATCTGCACAAGCCTAAAATTAGAAAGCTAGAATTTCCTGAGGACTGTTCTAATTTCGTTTCTTCTAGGGTTCCCCTCCTCGCCCCCTACTCGAAACTTTCCATTGTGTTGTCTCTTCAGATTCTGGTTCATATACCTGGAAAGATGAGGAAGTCTTGATAGCTACAAAAGAAAAAAAATCAAAGAGAAAATTTTAACCTGAAAAATGACATTAGAACCTCAGTACCTAGCTAAGTAAAACAAAATCCTGTCTAATCAATTTTACTAAAACCATAGGACTAAAACCCACGAGAAAAGTAATTTATAAAAGACAGGATTCTCTAGAATGAAATATATAAACCTTAAAGAAATTTTCACTGTTAGCACAACTCTTAAGAAGTTCACTTTGAGGACTGTTAGAGTGGCTCAAGCGGTAGAGCTCCTGCCTAACAAGCCTGAGGACCTGAGTTCAGACCCAGGTACCACCAGAAAATAAAACGGAAATGCAACTTAAAGTCATCTCTGTTGTATCTCATACCTGCTAGGTAATGTTTTATTGTTATCACTTCCTAAGTCAGGTAATAAGTACATTTCTTTTGTTTTTGGACAATGTACTTCAAATTTTTTATTTATCTTATATTTTTATTATTGTAAAGATGATATGCAGAGGGGTCACAGTTGCATAAGTCAAGTAATGAGTACATTTCTTTTTGGATAATGTCACCTCTTCCCTAGCTCTCTCCCCACTTTTTGTGCCCACCCACAAATTATAGAGTTCATTTTCCACATGGTGTCTAGAGAGTACCACTGCTACATTTGTCTTTTTTTGTTGTTTTAATGATTTTTAGTACTAATGAGATTGTGTCTTCATTGGTGTAGGTTCTCTGGAAATGAGTATCACTATAAATCATAAGCACTGTAAAGATGTTTCGGCCTTTGCTACAACAATTCCAATCTTAGAAATGTATCCTAAGGAGGTAAATCAACAGAAGTAGAAAAATTAATGAGTAGCAATGGTTTCTCTATTATGCAAACATCGAAGGAGGAGGATAGCTTTAGAAAAGGCCCAGTATTAGGAAATGTCAGTAGGTTCACACAATGGAGTTTTTTTTTTTTTTTTTTTTGGTTGGTCGTGGGGCTTGAACTCTGGGCTTGGGCGCTGTCCGTGCGCTCTTCAGCTCAAGTCAAGTGCTCTACCGTTGAGCCACAGTGCTACTTCCGGTTTTCTAGTGGTTTTTATTGGAGATAAGAGTCTCACAGACTTTCCTGCCCAGGGTGGCTTTGAACCATGATCCTCAGAGCTCAGCCTCCTGAGTAGCTAGGATTACAGGCATGAGCCACTGGTGCCCGGCTGTGGAGTTTCTTATACCCCTAAAGAAATTACAACTGAAAAATGAGCACAAATACAGTAGTCTTTGCTATTTCTGCAATCTATAGAAATGTGATTTCCAGTGGGAAGAGAGGCAAAATCTGACTTTAATTCAAGGGTTATCAGTGAGTTTTTAAGGAGTACTCATCAGTCTACCTAGCTCATCGGTGGTGGTATCACTTATTTTAAATACTTGCTTGATTTCTCTCCTAATTTTTTTTCCTTTGATGTTGGCACTGTGGCTTGACCTCGGGGCTTGGCTGTTGTCCCTTAGCTTTTTCATTGAAGGCTAGCACTCTACTCCTTGAGCCACAGCTTCACTTCTGACTTTTTGGTGAGTAATGAAGAGTCTCATGGACTTTGCCATCCAGGCTAGCTTCAGCTCTATCCTCAGCCTTCTGCGGAGCTAGGATTACAGGCTAAGGGATAGCATTTTCCTTTTGCACAGGACTCTGAGAGGTTTGTAGCTAGACCTTCATCTTACTACAGAAATACAGACGAATAACACTAGTTTTTTTTTAAATAGGAGCTGCACACGTAAAATGAACTATAAGGCCACTCGGCTCTATTCTGTTTTGTAAATGCTTCTTCACAATGGGCATAATTTTTTTAAGCCATTTAGCTGAGATCTAGCCCCCCTAACTCTCTATAAGCAGGGCTAATTTTAGAGTCAATTGGTTCTGAAGGTTCATATCTTCAAGGGCAGTCCAAAGCACTCTTCTGTTTGTTTTTAAATAGTTAAGGGGTCTTTGGGTTTTGCATACAGCATCAATTATTTAGGAAGCCACACATCCTCAGTACCACCTCTTATTACTAATACTTGATAATGTCAGTTACAAACCCCTCCCTTCTGCAGCCTGTCCCAGGAACTGAGTTTTTTTTTTGTCTTATATAACTTGAATGGTTCTTTTACATATCAAAAGCCCTGCAAAAGAAAGTAATTTGTATTTGCAAAGGATCAGTTGTAAATATGATTTACGAACAACATTTCTCAATTGTTATCACCGTGGTTTTGTGTGATCACCCCTTGGGTGAACAGAGCCCGGTCCATAATGAGAAAGTTGGCAGATCTCATCGCTGCGTGTGCGTCCTGGTGGCCGCTACCAGCCAGGGCTCGTGTTTTGCCTTGTTTACAGCTGACAGCGTTATTATTCTGATTGGGGCTCTGCTCTCTTATCATATTGTTGCGTTGAGCGAGCCTTTCCCTCTCCATTTGTGTTTCCTGGCAGGGCTTTTCTTGCCTTATTGACAGTTTGTAAAAATATGCATTAATTTGGAGTTTCAAGCATGTATCATGGTGTCTCTTTGCTGTGTTTGCTTGAAGTTGATTAATGATAGACCCTCGCTGGGGGTCGTCCTCTGAGAGTTCTTTCACAGGTTCTGCATGTTAACTAGCAAAGCAGAACACACAGCAAGCCATGATTAGCCCAGCTCCTGTGCTCAGTAGTCCCCGCCAACCGCCGTCATAGTACAGAGTCTCATTTCACGTAATTATTTGAAGATTGGTACTCATCTACCCAGGCTTCTGTTCGGGGGGTCCTGTTCCCCCATACTCACCTTGAAGACCAGCAGCATCACCTGGGAGATTGTTAGGAATGCAGAGTCTCGGGCATCATCACCCCACTGGGGGGTCCAGCGTGTGTGTGTGTGTGTGTGTGCGCGGCGCGCGCGCGATCTCTGTGCCCTCTAGTATGGGAACTCTCAGAATGGGACAGCTGAGCAGTGGAACTTAGATTGAAGCACAGGTATTCCCTCATTTGAAAGAGGGACATGTGGCCAGGGGCAGCCTATACAGGAAGCGATGTCGTCGTGTGATATAGTTTTCAGGTTGCTCTATGGAGCAGCAGGTAGAAAGCACCTCCCACTGAACCTTTTGCTGTTCGTTTGTTCTCTAGGCATCCTGTACATGTCAAAGAAGAGCCCCTGGATCCAGAGGAAGCTGAAGGGCCTCTGTCCTTAGTGACAACAGCTAACCACAGTCCAGATTTTGACCAGGACAGAGATTACGAAGATGAAGCAGTACATGAGGACATGGAGTGAACATCTGGGTGGGCTGACTCCCCCCTCCTCTTCTTCCTCCTCCCTGCTCCCCCCACCCCAGAGTGAAGATCGGAAAAAAAATAAAAGGAAAACAAAACAAACAAACACACAACACGTCAGAAGTTACAGTGAAGTCGTTCTCCATTTGTTGTACAGTCTGGAGGATTTTTCACTACATTTTGACAACTCTGAAATGTGTTAACTCTTAGTGCCATCGAGAATCCCATTTGGGAGTATTTTTGATTTTTCTACTTTTTGTTGAAAACAGGAATTTGTACTCTGTGCATCGGATGGACTTGTTTGGTACTGGGGATTTTCCTCTCAACAGTCAACATCAGTGTTGTATATTTGCTGATCGGATTCACTTTTTAGCAGCAGACTTTGAACTGCAGTCCTTGCCAACATTGGACACTGAGGACGGCCGACTTGAGCTTGTGCCCTTGAGCTGTAGACCAAGCCTTTACCCAGAATTCAAGGATTTCAATGGACGACCTATTTGCACAGTACTGCATGTTGAATGAATATCACTGCCTTTTAACTCTTTTTTGTTTTTGTTTGTTTTAATTTTTTTTTCTTCCAGTTGGGATGGGAAAGGCCTTTGTGTGTGTGTATTGGGGGGAGGGGTTAAAAAATAATTATCCCAGACTTTTTAATGTATTGCTTTTTTTTTTTTCCTCCTTTGCTTCTACTATACCATTTTTAAGTTCTGACCTCAGGCCTCCATTTGGGGCCCATGGCCTCTTAGAGGCTTCAAGTTTTCTGTACCTTGTGATGAATGTTAATAGGTGTTTTTATTATACAAAGCTGAATGTCATTTCTTGTTTGTAGTTTTCTGTCACTCATTCCATTTTTTTCCCACAGATATCTCCACATTTCTCTTAAGTCAGAAAACATTCCGGGTATTTTGGTTTTTTTGGTTTTTCATTTTTTTTTCAGTCTTTTTCAAAAACTAAAACAAAACAAAAAAAAGTCCCAAATGCTGCACTCTACCATGAAAGCCCCTCACATAGGCGTGTGACACCCTGCCAGAAAGAGAATGAATGACAGAAGAAAAAAAATACAGACACACTCTTGGAACAACGCGGACTCATTCCACGAAGCAGTATTGAGGGTAGTAAGGGAATTGTTTTGGAGTTCTTTTTTTTTTTTTTTTAAGAAAAATAAATTCTAGTAGCCATCATTCTAAATGACTGCCACAGCATTCTACCAAGTCAAGGAAACATAGGCAGCACTAGAAAGAATAATAATAATGAAACGAACCCTTCATAATGACCCTGACAATGTGGCCGAGAAAGTGGAGAGAGCCAGTGGACTCTTGTGTGATTATAGCCAGCCCGGGTTGCTTTGTTTGGGGAGAAAAAAAAAAAAAGACCAAAAGGCGGCCAGCTTCTCTGAGCAACTTTGCTGTGTGTGGTAGCCTGGTACATCCATAATTCAGACCTGCTTGGTGGCATTAATCTGTTGGAATGCAAATGAGACTTGTTATGGGGAGTTAATGAGGACGGAGTTCAGCAAATACTAAAGTGTTCATTTCAAATGTGCAAATTCCGTACTGCAGTTCAGTTTGCTATGCAATGGATTCACACCACCCCGGTATCACAAACTAACACAAGATGACATCAGGGTGACAAGGGCTCCTGACAACCCAGGCTTCAGGAGACCCACACTGGTCCTCAGAACATGATAGCTTTTGGGTCAGTATGTCCTTGGTCCTGACCAACCCTTCTAGACTTCCACTTTGCACCCCATACCCACTTCCCCATCATTTATTTATCTAGGACCATAGCTTTCATTCTGTTTTAGTTTGAGAACCTTCTCCCCCCCCCCAACCCACCCCAGAGGTTAATTTATATTCTTTGTACCTTTTATTTCTAAAATTACCAAAGATGTTACACAAAGGTAAATTAAGTTCTCTGTTTTATGCTTTATCTAATGAAGCCAAATATCCTCTTCTTGTTGATCCAAGGAGGTGAAAGAATTTAGAGGCAAATCGTAGAAACAGGCTATTGCTAATCCGGGAAAGAGAACTGCTCCTTCGTCCTAGCAGAGTAAATTTAGTAGACCAAGTAGGTAATGGAACCAAAGTTGTTACTTTTTCCTAGTTCTTCTTCTTCTCCTTCTTCTTCTTCTTCTTTTCTTTCTTGTTTTTCTGCACCTGAACAGAGACCAAAACTCAAGTCTTGAAAGACTGAAGATTAAAAACAACACACATTTCTACTTGCTACAAAGGAATGGAGTCCCCTGTCCAAAAAAGAACGAAATGAATGTATGCCACTGAAAATTAGGATAGCCAGCAGAGGAGACAGGATGAAATTCAGAACAGAAAAGCGACAATTAAACTAGACCACCTTAGTAATAGTTTTAGAAAAAAAAATTTTAGTATTTTTTTAAAAAAGATCATGCACCACTTTTGTTTAAGGAATGTGTTGTATTCCCTGTTCCCTACATCCATTTTGGTTTACCTTGATCTATATTCCCAGTTTTTGTGTTTTTTTTAAAATTTCTAGTTGCTTTGTTTTTATTATTTGTTTATTTGGAATATGCTTTGGTCAGCATTTTTCATGTGAGCAAAAAGTAACACTCCCATCCGCTCCGATGCTTGGTGCAAAACCATCTTTGGCAGTTGCTCTGGGAGCCTCCCTCTGCTTTCTGTCACAAGGGTAGCGTGTGGCCACTCATGGCTGCTTTTTCCTTCTGCCAGGCAACTTCATGGCGTGCAGGCAGTAGCCGGCTAGGGTCAAGGGAAGGGAGCCCTGGGCTTCTAAACTGAGTGGTTGCTGGTTAGTTCGGTATTCAAAAGAGGATAAAAATCTGGTAGATTAGTTCATCCTGAGCATGTGTAGCTAGACATGAGTAAAGAGAACAGCATGAAAAACTGTTAGTACGCATACCTCAGTTCAAACCTTTAGGGAATGATTAAAATTAAAAAAAAAATACATTTCACTCAGTTGCACTTAGTCGTACGTCTTGCATGCTTAGTCTAAAGACTGTAGCAAAAACAAAAAAAAAGAAAAAAAGAAAAATTAGATTTTTTTACAAATCTTTGCAGGTCTCACAGCCTTGCAGAAGAACCAACTGAAAAAAAAATTCCTCAGGCTTTACAGCAAGCAAATTTCACTATGATTTTTACAGTTCTGATTCTGTATCCCTTGGGGGGTGTTCCAGTCGCTTCTTTAGGATGGGGTTTATTATGTTGTACATATATCCCGACAATGTGTCTGTGAATCTTTGTCTTTTTTGGGGGAGGGCGGAGGGTGGTTCTTTTTTTAGATATTGTTCCTAAAAAGGAATAAATGCATACACCTGTTTGTCAAAACACCTTTGCTTTTTTTTTGTGCAACTGCTTTATATTTACAATATTAAAAAATATATATATCTTTGGGAAAAAAATACTACTGTATGTATTGGAACTGCAGAATTTGCTGCACATGTATTTTATTTTAGGTATCCTTGCTTTATGAATCTTGGATGACATTTCCTGACATGTGGGAGAGAGAAACTCCCTAAGTTTATTATTATTATTATTATTTTTGCTTTTAAATTGTAACATAGTTGACAGATTCCCCCCCCCCATTCTCATTGATTGGAGCATTTTGTACAGGTTTTTGTGTGTGTGCGCGCGCGTGTGTGCGTGTGTTAAATATGTTTTTTGATACATTCCTATCCCTGTGTTTATTCTACCACAGCCTTCCGGGCTATCTTTAAACAAGGTCATACATTTGAAAAGAGAAAAAAATGTTATTTAAAAAAAATTTCTCCTGCTGCAGTCAATATTTTGCATGCTGAAACTCCAAGGTCACACTTTCACAGTTTATATCAGTAAAGTGATTAATTATGGGGTGTGTCAACAATGGAGATTTGTATAAAAAAATCTTTACAAGGTGCCAAAATGTAAAAATCATTTTTTCAAAGAAAAGCATACATCAGGGAAGGAATCCCACCCGATAAATGCACTGTCAAGAATGGGAAGACTCCCGCTGCTCCCTAGACTCAGTCCTTGTGAGATGAGGCGGGCTGCCATATTGGGCCAGGAACAAAATGAAATAGCCAGGCACATGAGTGACCACGGGTCTTGCTCCCTGGGGATAGCACCAGCACCATACTCCCAGCAGACCTCAGAAAGAGGCCTGGATTTTCACCAAAAAAACAGGATATAAGATTTTTTGTTTCTAATTCTCTCATACATTCCCACAATTAAAAAATCATTTCCCAGTCCATCTGACTTTCATTTCCAAAGACACAGTACATACACTGTGCTTGTAAAGATTCAGAATCTGCTTGGTCTATTTCTAGTCATGGGATAGTTTCCTGATAGTCTGGATTTTTTTTTCTTTCACCAGTCACTTTCACTTTTTTTTTTATCTTTAGAACCCAACTGACAATGTTGAAGTCATCTATTGGGCCCACGGTAGCTAGCTCATGCCATCTCTCCTGCAAACCTTAAATGGGATGCCTAGTCTGCACCAGGCACCTTTGTGCTCTGCCAGTAATATGGATTTCTTTTTGTTTTGTTTTGATAAGGCACAAAAGAAACTCATTCCTTGACATCAACTGTAATTCCATCATTCCACGTCTGTGGATACAGACAATTGGGGGGGGGGAAAGTGTCGTCAGTACTAATTACATGATAGCATTCTCAAATGCAATAAAAATGCGGATTCAACACTGGGAGACAAAGTTGCTACAGCCTAAGTCCCCTCCTCCTCCCTCCCCCCCCCCCACTTCTGACCTGCTCATACTGTCGGTTGGCACACGCTTCGTATTCATCACCAACTACTCCAATACAGGATTAAAATCAACCTCAGCTAAATGCTTTTATGAATCACCAGAAAAGGTTAAAGAAAGCTCTTATCCTCAAAGTAAGATTTCCAGGTGAAGGTGTCCATTTCAAGAGCTGGGAAGGGGGTGGAGAGAAGGAGACCAAATGAAAGGAGGCAGCTCCGTTCTTTGGAGGGATGCACACGATTTCTCTTCATCAAATTTTATAAAGAAAAACAAAATGTTTAATAACTAGCATTAAGAGCAAACTAAAATTTCAGAGGAAAGCAATTTCATGAATAATTCATTGGAATTTCACATCTGCAAGATTAGTCATCCAAATAAAATGCTAATGTCAAAAACATGCACCGTCTATAATATTCTCATCAAGAAATCCTTTTGCATATAATGATAAATGCTTAGATTAGAACAAATGATTTTATAAAAATATTCGATCAAAACTATGCTAGATAACTGCACTCACAGGAAAAAGCAAGACCAGGGTGCCTAAATATCCCAGGAAAACAACCTTGATTTGGAGATTCTTTTAAAATTTCATACCTTTATAAAGATGTGTCATTTCTTATACACACACACACACACACTAAGGAGTGATGAATTCAAGAACCATCTTTCAGCATGACTTTTACTGCTAGTATATTGAAAGAAGCACTTTAAAGAGCCCAGACCACAGTAACATAAACCCATTACGTATATAATTCCGAGGATCCAATGCAAGTCTAGGAATTATTTGAAAATTAACCTTGCCATCTTTATTAGTCAAAACATGAGCCAAGGCTGAGGAGCATAACATAAATGTTCCTTTCCCATACTTTTTCCTTCAATTGCTGGAGA